AAAAAAACCCCCACTTTTTCAACCTTCACATATATGCTATACCCCCCTCTTCTACGTAGAAAAATATGAAGTTGCTAACTAACGACCCAATCTATTGATTATGATTCTATATTCAAATTAAAAATAAATTAATCATCGGTGATCGACGAAATAAAATTATTATCGTTAACAAGGTTATATATTTATAAATATATTTTTTCAACATTTTTCCCACTGCTAAAATATATATTTTGGTAAATCAAGAAGTAAAATAAAATAAAGTTAATAAGCCAATAACAAAATTAATACTACTATTATTGTTGTATTAGTGTACTCTCAATATTATTCTTCTACCAGACACCAAGAAACACAATCATGGTAACACCAAACGGAGAACCAAAAGAATTCAACCCACCCTTTCAATTCAAAGCCATGTTTTGTCTTTGTTCCGGTACCTAAAACAAAAGAGATGAAACAAAGATCCTCTTGTTGTCTCTCTCGGTTGTAATTTCACTGTCTGAGCTCCAAGTATGCTGCTCAAGCACATTAACAGGCGAGCTAGATCTCGGAATCATATCGAACATCGATCGGTCATCTTCTTCCTCTATCTCTTGAATCGAATCATAGCACTTTAACATGTTTTCCTGCAACCAAATCACAACATCAATGAATTAAAACAAATATTTTCTTTTGAAGTGATGGGAAAAATTAAGAATATCATATTACCTTATTTACATATGAACATCCGGAAATGGCTTTTCTAAAGCAGGGGAATTGCAAGGGAAAGAGTTCATGGGAGACTGAGAGAAGTGCCGATGCTGCAATTATTGAAGGCTTGAACTCTAAAAGCTTTAATGAAGTTTCAGACCTACTAATCTGAGCTTTTAAGATGATTTCAAAAGCTCGACCTTTGAGGGCTTGCGTTGATGGAGAGTCTCTGAGTTCGAACAACGGAATGAAGAATGATACGAAAGAGAAAGGAGTAATGGAGCGCATTCGCCATTCTAAAGCTCCCAAGATTAAGCACTCCATACGTTGTATCGTCTGTGTATCAAATATTAATCTTCCATCGTCCTATATAATTGACTCGGATTACTTGAGTTCTTGTTGACATCAGATTTCGAGTTCAAACTCAAACGACTATTACAAATTATTACCTGAGAGAGAGGAAACTCTGTATCCATCATCTTGGCAGCTAAGGAAATACAGGAGCTCGCAACAAGTCTCACAACCCATGTTTTATTTTGCTGCAACAACATCAACATCTGTAATTAGCTTTGCAGCTTATGAATATTGGTACTACCTGAAGAGCTAAAGAATATTTCACCGGCAATTTTTGTCTGGACAAGAACCGGTCGAGATAATTAATAGCAAGAAATGACAAGAAAGGTCCAAATTCGCCAGAAAACTGAAACAAAAAAACAAAAAGAAGCAAATTCAGTGAATATGCAGAAAACATAACACAATAAGTAGGTAAATCGAGTTACCTGGGAGATTGAAGCGATGGCTTCTCGTCTGATAGAAAACAGTGTGAAGATCTCCAGTTTTGAGAGACTGAATGTAATTGTGAGAGGGCATATGATCAGATTCAAGCAGGAAGAGTGAAGGGTTGAATTGATTGAAGCTGGATAATGGGTTTTCGAGATCGAACTCCATTTATTGATTAAACTATGATTATAGTCAAGCTTAGTGGCGTTGAAGAGAGAGCAACATTGTTATAAGAGAAGTGTAATGATGATAAAACACAAGCACGGCAAAAGAAAGTTTGCTTCTGGTTCTTTCTTTCTTGGAAGATGGAGCTATGGTGCTTGAGCGTGTGGCATATATCTCATATTTAAAGGGTAATTGCTAACCTAAACCTTCATACAATTCATATTTTGATTTTGGGTCTAATTTTCCGAGATGAATAAGATAGGTGACCTACGATTTTTCCTTTTGGATAGTTGACTAACCCTATATTTTAGTCCTCCTAATCCCTTCGAAACTTGATATCATTTTTTTACTACATCTTAGTCGCAAAGCAATCAATTAATGGTGTAGAAATGATATTTGATGCATGCAATTGCCACAATTTTCTATCTAATTTTTTTCACCTAATTAGGCGGTGGAATACTTAATGTGAAAGAGAAGTGTCATTTGTAGAGGATTGTTAGAATGTATATGAGAAAATTAATTTAAAGGTCTAAAATAGAATAGATTGATAAATTGATAAAAAATAATAATTAATTGGAGAAATAACGATAAATTTGATTTAAAAAAAAAAACTTATCTAAGATAAGGGTTCTAACAAGACCTACTTTTGAAACCATATACTGATATACATTTAACAACTTTTGACTCAAACCTTTAGTGCTTGAAACCCACATGGAGCAGATATATATTGATGTCGTCTGCAAATATTGATCACAACTACTACTAGCAATGCAAATATACGTACATGTTATACGTATATGTTTAGTGTCCACATACAACAATTTTATCATTCTAATTATGATTAGAGTCGAGAGAGAAAATATATACCTATATTATCGAAAAAATAAATTAACATTATAAATAATTGTGTTCATATAATATGAACACGAAGTTGTTGAAGCAATTGAAATTTTTTAACCCAAACTTCAGAGAAACTCAACAATTCATACTTAACTTCTAAAGGAATCCGAACAAGCATTAATCAATAGTTAATTAATTAATATTAAGTTTTAGAAAAGTAGCTAATAATCTTATCCTTGTTCTCCTTGTAATTGATACTACACTCCATAGGGTTCCTCTTAATATTAGGTAGGTTAGGATAGTTTGTTTTATTAGTTTTCTTTGGTTACCCAAAAAAAAAAAATGCAATTTGAGTGTGTAAATCCATGGAGGAAGAAGCCAAATAATTTCCTTTTCAAAGTTTCATAACTTCGATATGCCTTTGGACAACGTTCCATTTTCTTGGGGATTGCTTCATCTCCTTTATTCACTGGCAATTGCTATATAAAAATCATTTGAGATATTAACAACTTTGAGATCCTAAGTTTATGTCGCATCTGAATTAGAAAATAAAATTTAATTTTAGTTAAAGAAAATATTGAAAATCAAAATGAGAATTAAATTATGTTTGAGGAATTGAACTATCCTATGAATTTAGTTTAAGAAGTAATCTAACACATTTGCTCATTCTTTTTGAGTCTTTGTTGGGTGTCTTCTTCTTTGTGTAGGATAGGTATGGATTCTCCTTTTCTCTACATTGGTGCAAGAGAAAGCTTAAAGAATCTCATTCCCACACATTGGAAGACCAATACCCTTTTACTTTTCCTCTTTCTCCTCCCTAATATGAACCTCAAATCTTTTAAGCAAGGAGACAAGACAGAGACACAGAAATGCAGTCACATGATGGGTGTATGTTTCACGCCACACGACAATGAAGATAACACCATCATTGTATCCCCTCGCTTTATAATACTCAAATGTACACAAGTCCAAAGCAACCATTCTTTTAAATTTTAATTGTATTGTACCTCCGGTAAATCTCCTCTGTAAGATTGAATTTTGTACATCAAGGCTTTCGAAGAACTTCTCCTATGAGGATAAAGACTCGAGAGAATATCAAAGGCTCCAAGAGCTGTGTCCTTAAGAAGTCACGATATTTTGATACGACTTTTGATAGGCACCGCATAATCTGCCAAGATAGAAATCTATATCTACTAAATTTGTCAAACTATGAATGAACATAATAACACTACACCCATCACTTAAAAAATCAAGTGAAAGCATATATATATATATATAGAAGTGAAATCAGGTGATGTTGTGCAGTTAATGCATCTTTAATTGAGCTTAGATGTGGAATATATATGACTTGATATTTAAGCATTGACCTTTGGGGTTCAGTTCCCAGCAACTTTATTGTTAATAATTAAGGGATCCTATGACTTTGGTTCTAATTGAACTAGGAGATCATGCTAATTGACAAGTGATTTCAAGTATGAAAGAAGCACGTACACCAGATAGACCTCCAGATAAAACTCGATTGTCTCTTCCAAATAATATTCAAAATTACATATAGACCTATACGAGGTATATAAAGTATGTAAGAATAAGCCCAATCACAACGGCGGTCAAGTTGTAGTTGTGAATAAGCCCATGCAAATTTCCATGTTTTATGATTAGGTCCAATCAAAACAGTAATAATTTCTCAGGCAAAGTGATCTGCTATGTTCATATTTGGTAGGGACCAGGCAGCTTCAAGTATTTTAGGTGAAAAGGTACTGGACCTTTTGGGTCCATATCTAGAGTAGTCGGTTTGGGCTTTAATTATTTATTTATATTTGTTTTATGACTTTATTATTTTTTAATATTATCATTTTAAAATTTAATCAAAACTCTCCGTTAAATTGTACCAAGTGTTACGTGCGACGCGACAAAAGAAGGATGCATATGAAGATGATAAAATACATTAATCCTGTATAAGAAAAGGCAAGGTTTTGAAATTTAAAAATATTAATATTATATATTTCATTAAATATATCTTTCTAAAAAAACATAATAATTATGTGACAGGTAATATTAAAGTGATAATACATAATAATTATGTGACAGGTAAATATTAAAGTGATAATTGATTATCAAGTTTCATATATAACCCGTTATAAAAGTGTTGCGAGATTAGATGGTAAAGAATATTACATCTTATATTCTAAAATATAAGATGCTATTTATGAGAATGATAAAATCTATTAATCTCATATACTAAAAATGAAATAGAAAATTTGAAAATTGAAAATAGTACACGATATTAACCTTATTTTTTAGGATAACATGATAGACAATCTCAACTTCAAATGTCACAATGCGTCCCATGCAAACGCATATTGTCATAATCCATACAACGATTTCACCAAGAAGAATGTAAAAGATAACCAAGAATTTACTGCATGCATGCTATAAGGAGGCTCAAAGGAAAATCCTTTTTAATTAGTATTTTTAAATTTGTGTGAAATTCATATGTATACAGTGAGGTATCTCAAATGCAAACAATATGTGAATCCGTCGATAATGATTATTTATTTATTATGGGTATCTCAATATCAAATTTACAGTGGGGGGGACGAAAAGGATAAAACCCAAAAAAGACCGATCGTCCATTAGCCCATCTTCAATTGTCTGATAGCTCCATAAGCTTCACGTGGGAATTGGCAAAAAGCAAGGTGCCACTTCACATTTCACAACTCAACCACGCTACCCAAACACCGAGACCAAAACGATGAGTGACAAAACAGGGAACGTGAAAGACGCCCGCGGCGGTGCTGACGATGGGGCATTCTCGAACTGGAGAGAATCGACGGCTAACGGCATGTTCTCTTGATCCGGGCTGCAACTTGACTCGTGAGGGTGCGCGCTGTACATTATGGCCCGGAGCACGGCCGAAACGGTGGGTATGTACGCCGTTTTGTTGCGTGAAAGGAGCCATGTCAGCCCCATCAGCTGGCAGTCTCTGTTGAACATCTTGCTCGCTCGGTCGCTCGTCGTGCTCCCGTTCTTGCTGTATCCGCCTTTGAGCTGCAAAAACAAGAGCCGTTACTTCTTCATTGTGACAGTGACAATCAAAACCCAGTTATCAGTTTTCTCTTTCATTAATTTAACAATGTAAACGATTCCCATTAATTAATTTACCTTTTGGAGAGCACCCATGCATTTCGTACACCCATCATAAGAAGAGTCCCTGCAATCCCTCTCCAAATTCTTCACCGCTGCTGTCGGCGTCGCGTTTCGCAAACCGGAAACGTTAAAAGCGGCGGGACAACTCAGGGAACTAATCTGATGCAGTCTTATTCCACAAAAACATACAATCGCATCGCAACTCGCGTTCGGCTGAGGAATCCTGACTCGCTTGCTTACCAATGCGTTCTGCAACGTGTTCACACACTTTTGGGAATCATCCGGCATCATGGGCTGCTCAGGTTGCGCCGGAGCAGGAGCTGACACTTCCAAAGCGTACCTTGCATGAGCAGCATAGAGCCAAGCTGCCAACACGGGACAGCAGCGGCTTCTGTCCAGGTCGTGGCCACATGCGTCGTTGACGCCGCCGAATAGCTCGGTTGACAGGTCGAGCTGGCAAACTTGAGCTTGGATTTGGGCCGGGAGTGCGGGAACAGTGTTTGGGGATGAGTTATATCCGGGTTTTAACGGCTGATCGTGGGCGGAAACTGGTTGAGATAGAAAAGTAGTAGCCATAGAGTGATGGAAGAGAGTGAAATAAAATAAAAGTAACATAAATGGTGAAAGGTAGGAAAGAGAATCCATGGGTTTTCTTCGAAAAGATTGCTGGGGAATTGAGAATCGTAGTTTGATTGTAAAAATTAGGGACTGCACTTTGAACCTGCTAACAATCGTTCATTCTTTTTGTAGGAAAAAGGGAGATTCAAGAGATATTCAAAAGGTATCAAAGATTATTGTGGTTCTCTGATAGCTACAACCTTTAACCAAATTATTGAATTTGGAAAAGCAAAAAGAAACTTGTGATATAGAGAACGCTGGATCAGGGAATCAAGAGATATATCAAGAACATGAGAAATGACAGACTATATATATTCTATTATTATACAGGATATAGGTTTAGAGATTTTTGAGAAAATTATTAAAATAATATTCTCTAAATTTCTTTTAGGATTTATTTATTTGACTGTAATTGATTTTTTAAAAAATGAATTACTAAAATTTAAATTACTAGAATTTGAATTACTGAAAAATAAATTATTGAAATTTGAATTTGAAAAAATATATTATATTTTTTGAAAACGTTTTTCGTAAAATAAATTATATTTTTCTGAAAAATATCTGAAAAACGTTTTATGATGTTTGGAAGATGTTATTTAAACTTTTTTTTTCACTAATTGATGAGTTTTTTAAAAATTATTTTTTACAAATATTAAATATAATAAATAATATTATTTATCATAAAATTTAATATTATTATTTTAAAATATTAAAATATTTTATTTATTATTAAATATTATTTTTATAATTATATTTTAAAAATATTAATTAGTATATTTTAAATATATTTATTAAAATATTATTATATTATTATATCAATATTAAATATATAAATAATAATATATAAAAAAATTATTATATATTTATTAAAATAAAAGTATAATATCTTATATTATTATAATATAATTGATTATTTTATTATAATATTAAAAATATAATATATTATTATAAATATTAATAAATATATTTTAAATATTTTAATAATTAATATTTTGATGAAAATGATATTAAAATATTTTATTAATATTAAAATTCATAAAATAAAATTATTTTGAGTATTTATTCTTTGAAGTGAAAAGTTCGAAAAATGACTTACGAAATATCAGACCGTATGCCATTTTCCAGAAAACACAAAGAAAATTATGTTGATCAGGAAAATTAATTACGTTGACCAACCAGTTTTCCTCCAACCAAACACTGGAAAATATTTTCCGAAAAACGAATTACGTGAAACAAACCCAAAAAAATATTTTTCGAAAAACGAATTACATGTAACAAACACAAAATTTCAAAGAAAATCAATTTCGCAATTCATTTTTACGGTAAACATATTAAAATTATAATTAAAAATATTTAATTCTTAAAATAGCATTCATCTCTGTTATGACTGCGCAGCATCTTTTGGAAAGGCTCTTTCTTAGACGTCATTTAAGATAAAGCCACTTAAGCAAATAAGAGCCTTTTAGAAGGCATTATCACGTAGAATCATAGATACACCTTCGTTTTACGCAATAGAAATGGATGTTATTTAAAAAAATAAAATCTTTCTGAGTGATATTTTAATAAAAAAGAATAAAAATATTATTTTAATAATTTAGCCATTTTGGTATTTTATCTATTGTTTTTGAATGAAGTAATAGAAGGTTGAGAAAGGAAAGAGATGGGAGCATGGAGAAACAGAAGAGATTCGTTAGGGTTATAGGGCCATATAGGACACTGATTGAAAAGAAAGAAAGAAAGGCTGTGTGTGTCCTTTTCCTTTTCATCCCCCAATACTTCTTTCTTCTGAATGATAGCACACACCCACTCCCTCCTTCAACCTTCGGTCTTTCTGGTCTCTATGGAACCGTAAAATTAGTTACATCACGAAAGCTAGCTAAAACATGATAATTAAAGTACGTCAATAAATAAACAAAGGTTTAATTGTTTTATTTTTTTCCTAAGTTGTTTTAAATCGCATTATTGAGTGGTTCATGTATGGATAGGCTGCTAGCTATTTGATGATTTCAATGAAAAGCCTATGAAGCAAGAAAGTAAGGTAAAGTGATGCACACATGCTCAATCATTTCCCTTTCTTTGTCCGAAACCATTGTTAGGTACTAGTGGGAGTTGAAGTTGTTGTATGATAGCAAAAACAGTAAAGACAAAGCCACTTTAAGAGCCACTTAGCCCAAATTACCTAAATCTTATCCCTTATGATGCAAATTTAAATGGTGCTTGACAACCCAACACACCATACTTTCACTTTCTACCTTTTTTTTTATCTTTATAATTTAAGGTTGGGACCTCCTGCTTAGTAAAGATAATTTTTTGTGAAAGAGAGTAAAGTTATTTCATTTACATGAAAAAAAAGGGAATAGAGACAACTTTATTAAGACTCAGATATAGTATTATATGGCCATGCAAAATCTTTGGTAATTGAGCTTAAAAAGTTTAAAGAAAAAAGGTTTAATCATGTGTCCCAAGATGAGGTTGAGGGACCCCAACAACAGCTACTCATCCATGGGGGGTCAACGTCATTGGTTTTCTGGTTAGCCCCAAGCCAGAGATGGCCTTTGGCAATGAGCATTGGTGAGTGGTGAAGTCGGAGTCGGACCACAGCTTTCTTTTCAGGCTTTTCGGCTGTAGGAGTTTGTCGCTTGTTTGTTGATCCTTTTCCTCTTTAGCATGCGTCCCCATGTTTACTTGTGCACTTTATCAATATTTTGTCATTTTTAAGAAGAAAATATTAGTAAAAAAAGTTTAAATTATTTGAGGCCAAGGCTGTTGCATTAGATTTGTGGCATAAGTTAGAAAGCACAATGAGATTATTAGGGGAAAAAGAACGAGTAAAGCGAAGATAGCTACATTATTGGTGACTTAAAGGCTTAACTATAGGCTCAATCCTACAACTTTCCATCGACATTTTTTAGCATCAACTGGTCCTTAAAGCAAAATGATTTTGAAATTATATACACTAATGGTGGGAAAAGCACGATAGACTTCCTTAAAGCATTAGCTTTCAGTGCAATCAGTAAAAGGAAAACAAAAACAGTTGTTTATTACTGTTATTAATCTTTAGGGTAAAGTACACAAATGGTCCCCGACTATAGAATACTGCTTTATTAAGTCTCCGATTATTAAAAGTTACAAAATGACCACCTGACTATTCATTATGTTCCAAATTAGTCAGTTTTCTTTAAAAAATTAACGGTCTTCTGAGCTGGACGTTAATATGTTGATTGAGATATGATAGTCGTTTAAGATTATGATGTCAAATTTCATCATATCTCAGTCAACAAGTTAACGTCCAACTTAGAATGCCATTAAATTTTTAATGAAAAAGAACGAGTTTAGAACATAATGGATAGTCAAGGGATCATTTTGTAACTTTTAATAGCCGAGGGACTCAATAAAATATTATCTTATAATCAGTGGATCATTTCTGTTCTTTACCCTAATCTTATAATATTGGTTGGTTATTTTTCTAAAAAAAAATTACGTTAGTTGTAGATTTAATTTTCGTTCTTCACTTCTCTATTATTTGATTATATTATTTAATTATATTACTTCTCTATTATTTGAGTTTAGACTAAAAATTTAAAAAAATTAAATACCAAAATTAATCAAATTATAAATCAACAATTTATATATAACACAGAAACTAAACATAGAATTTAACCCAAACCTGCTAAATATTTTTTTCTTAAATACCAACATAAACAAAAAAAAAATGTTTGAACGTACATTTTACATTTCCCCCCACGTAAATTAAACTATTGGTAAACTTTAGTTTAAGAATATGGGCAAGTTCGAAGAGGAACCCATGTTACTTTGGACCTCATGATTCGATTTACTGGTGGACCATGAACATGCATAGGCCCAGCTGAAATTTTCTTTTTGAGAGTATATTTTTTGTTTTAATAATTTATATATATATATTATTTAAATTCTAATTTTTGGATTGATATCATAATTTTATTTAAATATTATTAAAAAAAATATTATATTCAATTTTTTTTAATTCTTTTAAATAAGCTTTAAATAAATGAAATTACAATTGGCTGCTTAATGAATTCAAATAAAAATTATTTATTAAATAATTTTTGATTCTTTCACTCGTGATTAGAAAAGAATTGTTCGGCCTTGATTAATTGGGGATGTGGATTTTAGAAGAACGTTTCGAGTTCTATTAACTAAATTAAGTCGTTGATATAAAATTTAATAATTAAAGCTAAAAATCATAGTCATTTCGTCATAAGATGGAAGTATGAAGCAACATATTAAGAAAGAAGGTGAAATTCAAAATCTTGGCGACCTGTGAAGGCAATAACATAATGATTTATCATTTTACAATTCAAATTATGGCGAGGAATCCATTTCTGCTTTTAATTCTTATGAAGGGTAATAACATAATCAATTATAATGATATGTTTTTAGGAATAATAATAATAAAATTAAAAATAAATTTTAGTCATATTCCTAAAATTTATTGGGTAGTCTTCAATTTTATTGCTTCACTCACTTTATACTCTTCAACAAAATTAGTCCATCCACTAAAAATTATGTTTGTTAAAAACTTATCTTTAAAACTTTTATTGAACCATTAGTAAAATATTTACATGAAAGTTTATAAAAAATTTAATTTTATGTTATTTCTAATTTATATATATATATATATATTAATAAAATTTATACACATATAACTTGCTATATATTTTATAGTTTCAAAAAGAAAATTACTACATGTCTTTTTATTTATTTGAAAATAAAAATTTATACTTGCATCAATATCATTATATGTTTATTGTTAGATACTGAGATATTGGGAGATGTACTGTTAAGCATTGTAGTAGGCAAAGCTTGAAACAAACAGAATACCAGAAAATATATTTCATTAAGCATGAGTTATACATCACCTAGCCTTAGCTTCTTATAGCAGGTTCATAACAAACTTTAACAAACTACTGCTTCTAGAATAGTTTCCTAACAGCCTTGACACTTCGTACGTGGATAACACCCTCAGCTTCCTTATATATCTCAACATTCTCCTCGCTTCTTCTTCTTCTCCTTTTCTGACCATGAACACACTTGCACTCCAATCTTTCCACAAATCACTTCAAATGCTGCTTGATGAAAAAAAAACTAATTACCTTCTTGATGAAAAAATGAACAATTAAATCGAAAGTGCTTATGCTTCCTCCCGTTCACTTGAATCGAAAGTGCCGATGCTTCCTTTCGTTCTTCTTGAATCGA